ACCGCCATTGACCCAGTTGCGTGGCAATGGGCGCGTGCAATAGGTGTTCCGTCTACCTGTCGCGAAACGCCACCGGCTTCGCATCGACGTGTTCCGCCTAATCGCTTTATTTCCTCGAGTCTCGTCTCGGCAGCCGTCTCCCTGCCTCGCGCGGAGAGACGTCACCCCCTCGTGCGAGCGGGTGTTTCGTTAATCGGAAATATGGATGACTAACATGAGAGCCGCGTGGCGAACGCGAGCGAGACACGTCTCGGAGTCTCTGGGCTCTCGACGCCGCCGAGTGCCGAAAGTCTTCTCTGTAAGTCTATAAATGTAACGAGATGAAGGAGGCGGCCGCAGTCTGCCTCGCAGAGCGTACAGTGCACACGATCGATGCACTGCCCCCGAAATCCCGAGCATTTTTACAGCCAGACGCCGAAAAACGAGTAGCAAGGGAGGACCATCCAAGGTTCGACGCCGCCTCGACCCGGCGCGAACTCGCGTCCCCGTCAACCTCTGTTCTACCTGAATTCTCGAAAGGCAGATACAATCGAATAAAGAGTTCGTCGATATCTTTTGTTCGATATCGTCGTATCTTTGCAAGAAATTGCCCTGTAAATTCTGAGAATTTTCAATCGAATCCTTTTATAACGACCAAGCTGCGAACGTTCGCGCGTTTTTTATATTCTTTATAAATGCGATCGAGATAAAAATTACTGGAACTTTTAATTATTAAAACAACTTACGATGGACTCGACGAATTTAAATGGAACGTAAACTAAATAATTTTACATATTTTTGGACGCTGTGCACATCCCCTTGGCGGGAATTCCTCAAAAATGCACGAACGTCTGCAGTCTCTAATAATAATCCAACAATTTTTCGCCCGACCAATCGCCGAAAATCGGTTGAAAGTACTCTTTCAACGCCGGAATTATAGAGAAAAGAAAGGAATTTACGACAGAATGAGAATTAAATATTTGTATAAAAAAAAAAAAAAAAAAAGAGAGAGAGAACAGATGCAACATCCAAATAGACCAAAAGGAAGCTATTCGAGACCGCCTACGCGAGATTGTCCCCTGTACCTGAATTCTCAAAAGAGAAATCGAACCGGCGCGTCAACATCTTTTATTCATACTTTCGAGGAAACGGTTGGGAAAAGTTTGACAAATTTTCAGAAAATATGGGCAATTTGCTTGGAGGACGAGAGAGTGTCGTGGAGAGAGTATTTTCTTCTTGTGTCGACGATTCAATGGTGAATTTGTGGATGTAGGTGGAAGGATAAATATAGAGTAGCAAGAGAAACGAAGTAAAGATTGAATTGAAGAGAACGGTTTCGAGTGAAGACAGTGAGGTTAAGTAGCGACTGACATGATTAAAGAAGAATCGATATACTTGTCTTTGCAGATAGATACACTTAACTCCAAGTTACCTTAAGTTAACAATCTCCTGGCGAATATCTAACAGATCTTGCAATTTCTTAAGTTTTATGTATCCACATGATTTTTCAGTGTTAAATGAATTATTGTGACTCGATACATCTGTTACTTCGAATGTTCATTGTTCTAATATAATATCTCTGCTCGATATTGGAACCGATCCGAGTTTAAAGATGCTAAGATTTCACGAGCGAAACTCGCGCGAAATCTGCGTTTTCGTTCAGGGGTAGAAGTCGATTATCGCCCCGTGGCGAATTTCATCCACAAATAAAACTGCAGTCCAATTTGGTGCTCTGAGTTTGGTCTTCTTGGCGGAAGGACTTGCATTTGAATTCCACGATAAAAAAAAAAAAAAAAA